CTCACCCTCTCCACTTCAAGCCCCTGGATGAACAGTGGCCGATGAGATCTCCTCTCCTTCCTCATGTCCACTATCATCTCCTTCGTCTTATCCGTGTGGAGTCTGAGATTATTGTCCTTGCACCATGACACCAGACTGGCCACCTCCCTCCTGTAGGCTGCTTCTTCCTCACCAGTGATGCGACCTATCACTCTGGTGTCATCCGCGAACTTCAGGATGATGTTATCTTTGTGGGAGGCGACACAGTCGTGGGTGAACAGGGTGTAGAGGATGGGACTGAGGACACACAGTTTGTGGGTGAGTTTGTGGGGGACAACTGTGTTGAAGGCGGAGCTGTAGTCAATGAAGAGTATCCTGATATAGGAGTTTCCATTTTCCAGGTGAGAAAGGGAATAGTGGAGGGCAGCCGCGATGGCGTCTGAGGTGGCCCTGTTGGGCCGGTAGGCATACTGCAGGAGGTCCAGGGTGTCCAGTATACTGCTCTGAATGTGGGCCAGCACCACTCTCTCAAAACACTTCATAATAATTGGGGTGAGTGCCACTGGCCTGTAGTCGTTCAGGCAGGTGACCGGGCTCTTCTTGGGAAGGGGGACAATGGTTGTGGTCTTAAAGCAGGTGGGAATGTTGCTCTGGCTGAGGGAGAGGTTGAAGATGGTGGTGAGAACATCAGCCAGCTCGCTGGCACATGCCCTGAGAGCCCTCCCAGGGATGTTGTCCGGTCCTGCCGCTTTGTGGGGGTTGATCTTCCACAGGTACTATCAGCAAAATGTAGTTAAAGTGTGAAGTAGAAGTAGCCTCCTCATTCTGACTGGTATTATAAGTACACACAGTACATTTGACTTTATTAGATTGCTATTATAAAACATTGAGGTGTTGCAGTATTTTACTGTTGTATCTGCCCCTAGTCCATCGAGTTTAAATGACTTTATATATTAGTGCATTTTGTCCAGTGGTTCACAACCTGGGGGTCTGGCCCCTCCTTGGGGTCACCAGATGAACCTGAGGGATTGTCAGATCATTAATGGAGAGAAAAGAAGGAAAAAACACAGTTACTGCTGCACAAAGGAAAATTCACAGATATTTTTGAAATATTGGATCTTTTTTGTGAGGTGGGGGTTTATAGTGGAACCATGGACGATTCAGGCGTATGCAATGTGACGCTGGTGTGTAAAGACACCGGTGAATGCTTGTGTGTATTGGCCAAGTATGTTACACACACAAGGGGTTTGTCTGTGGTACAGAGATGCCAGCCCACA